GTTGTTTAGTTTCTATATTATGCTTCCAATTTTGAAAAATATACTTTACGAAAAAATTATAGGTACTAAACAACCATGGAAATACTTTACGAAGAAGTAGAGATTAAAGCAATGATTAGTGGGCTAATTGTTTCAATTCAAATGAAGCTTAAAAATATTGTGATTTGCGGCGATGACCATCAAATTTACTAAATTGTAAGTGTTTTTTTCTTTGTTATTTTTTTATCAGCAAATGATTTACTTTCTGTGTATTTGAATAGTACAAGTTGACGTAGTAAAATGAGGTTGTACAAAATAAAAATAACGCTAATTTTACTTAGATAATGTAAATAACTAGGATATGACCCGCGGTACACCGCGGGTTAATTATTTGATTTTTTTATTTTTATAAATTGATGAATTTATTGTGTATAATATTTTTTGTTGTATACCGCGGGTCACATGCGTTGTATCTAAAATAAAAAATTTTAAGTTGTATTTGTTTTGTTTAGTGTTTAAGATTGTATAATTGTATTTTGATTTGTTATTTATAGGATTTCACCTGTGGTATATTGTCTCGTATTAATATTGACCCAAACCCGTCCAACCATATAATCTAAAATGAAATTAAACATCATTTTGTTATTTTTTTAATAACACTTTTATTTAAATGTCATATAATTCGAGTTAATTTGAAAGTTGCTTTCAAATAGTTTCCATGTATATTTTTAAATTAGTGTGTTTTTGGACCAACCCGTAAAAACAATTTATAATTGTATCTTAAAATACTAATTAGGATTTCACCCGTGATATACTGTCCCATTTTAGATAATTGTAAAAATTAAAGAAAGATCCGAATGACTCAATTTCGGATCTGAATAAAATAACGACATGATTAAATGCTCAATTTGTTCTTAAAAATGTTAATATAGATTACACACATATTTTTATTCATCGATTGAGTAATATATGTCCGTTTTAAAAAATTTGAATTGTAACATATGCAGAAAAAAAAAAACTAAAATTTACTAACTATTTATATATTTTATAATAATTTAAAATAATATAAATATAAGATCAAATAAAAGTGAAATAAGAATCATATATTTATGTTTAAATTAGGTAGAGAGGTTTTAGGAAATTAGTGCAAATTTGTTATATTAGCATTAAATCATCATATTTGATTTCTTTATCTATAAAAATCGTGGAGAATATACCATAAATAAAGCGTTAAAATATAGTAATTAGTTGAGAAAGTATATATATTTTAGATTTTATTAATTATTTTCGTTTTTTAATTTTGCCAAAATTTAAGGAAAGATCCGATTGAAGATTTCCGGGTCAAAATTAAACAAATTTGACCCGATTTGGGTACCCCAAAAACTGCTGCAAAAATGTATAGTAGATATTTTTACCCTCGTATTTGAAATCTCATTGGATGTTTAGATTCATTTCTTATCTTATTAGATTTTTAGAAAATCTTTAATTCTTATAACATAACGATACTTTTACTTACATAATACACATAGTTTTTTAATATTTTTTTTATTTTAGTGATATATATGTATATATATATATGTATATATAATTGATTTTTAATTTTGTTGATTATTATTTGTACTCACATTATTACCAATCAAAATTTATGTTCATATTGTAATCTCTTACCGCTTCTGACTATACCATATTAGTATCTTTTAACATTTCGTTAGAGAACAGACCAAGAATTTCACAAGTCGACTTTGGAAGAATAAGTCCATAATTAGGCCTAACGCAATAATTTTTCGGATTTGTCGTCTTAACCTTAAATTTAGGGGAAAAAAAAAAAAAAAAACCCCCCGAGAAGCCTTAGAAACACAAGATAATCAACAACAATTTAACGATTCAAAAAAAAAAATTTACCTTAAAGGCCACGTTATTGGCTGTCTTGTTCGTCGAGTTAAGAGAGCAAGACATCTGCTTCTTCAATTCAACTACATCAACTCAGCGAAGTAAATTGTAAAATTTAATATTAAATCATAACTCAACAAAAATCTGGTTATATGGGACAAGAAAGACGTGCAAAATCAAGAAAAACAAATTAACTAAAAGCTTACAAGGGAATTGAAGGTACATAGGCTCGATTTTGAGAAGCTCGTTGTTACTCATCTCGATAAGTACACCGTAGATTCGAACTTTTCCCGGCTATGATATTCGTCGATAGAGAGAGAGATCCAATGAAGAGAGTCGGGACATAGCTATTTGTCTTCTTCCGACAAATGGTAAAATTGACTGTTTCAACTAAAACTGATCATTCTTTGAAAAGTTTCCATGTGGAATAATCAGCTAAACCATTGGTTACGCTACTACTCCCTCCGTTTCACAAAGAGTGTCGTTTTAAGGTTTTATTTTTGTTTCACAAAGAGTGTCGTTTTAGGTTTTCAATGCAAAATTTAATGATTTTTTTTATGTTTTATAACTATTAGTATTCTGCAGATTGTTTTACTATTGGGCAGATTGTGTTTAAGTATATAGGTAATGATGTTTTTGTTTAGAAAAAAACAAAAAAATTAATATTTTCTTAATCTGTGTGCAAAATTCTAAAACGACCTTCTTTGTGAAACAGAGGGAATATTATTTAAATCAAAATGTTACCAATTTTCCATTCTCCTTCCGAGTCCACTAGGTAGCTTCTTCCGCAAGAATGAATTTGTTTTTAGTAATTCTAGATTTGTAGTTAACATGATCATATTATAATTTTAATTTTATGAAGCCCTATGCCAATGATCAAAGGTTTAAAAGACTTTTACACTAGGTATAAGCTTCAAGTTCCAGAGTGTGCAGATACACCGTCTGTGGTAATCTTGAGCTACAAAATATAGTCAATAGCTAATCTTTTATTAGTGATAGAAACAAAACAAGTAAAGCCAGCTACGAAGATTATTAGAAAGAAAAATTAAAAATCTTAAGATAACTAAATTTGAAACGTTACAGTATTTGATGAACTCCAGTGAGAACTAGACGTTAAGAAACCAAAAAAAAAAAGAGTCAAGTGAGAACTAATGTTGCTTTCGTCTTCTTGAAACAATCTCCGATGCCCAAGCCTTACCTATATCAGTCTGGAACTTCCCTGAATCAAACACCAACAAGCTTAAAGCCTTCAACTATATATACAGATTATGATTATGATTATGATTATGATTTACAACAGAAATTTACCTGCGGTTGATTGGAAAAACTCTTCTAGATCTTTCCCTTGCTCTGCGTTAAATAGCAAACAAAACAATATGAGATTTTAGTTTCTGCTAAATTTGTTCTCAAAGAGGCCATTCATTACCTTGTTCATATTCCAAAGCTTGTAGTATCAGCTCAACTTTATCGAAATCTTTAACAACTTTGGCTTCAGGTGAAGAGTTCTCTTCATATTCTCTCCAAAGCTCAGCGATTTCTTTGGCTGCAATTACCGTATTTACATTCTTAGAAGTGACTATTGTTATGCAAACGAGTACAAAATCATCAAGATAGTACATTTCTAGAATGAGGAAAGAGAACGGACCTCTTTCTCCTCCACCCAAGAGTTTGCACATGTGTTCAAGTGCTTCGCTTTCTCTTCGGTTTTTCTCTTCTTTAGAGATCCCACAAGACGGTGTAATGTCTCCTACAATGGCTGCTCAACAACAATTCAACTAAGTAACCCGTGATTAAAAAAGTCGGTGATTAAACTCTCTAAAAGTGAAAGAACTAACCTTCTGCAATGTCATGAACAATTGCCATTTTCATGCATCTATAGAAAGAAAGCATGGATATAAGAGGAGTTTATATTCCAGCAGTTAAAACTTGAAACTAAAGACGAAGCAAGCAAGAAACTTACTTGTCTCTGTTAACACCAGGAATATCTGAAGAAATTAGAGCCATAAGACCCATCCGATACATGTGATCCGCTATTGACTCTGGATCTTTAACATCTCTCTTAATCCATCCAGCTCTTGGAGTTGTCTATTTGATATACAAACATGGTTTACCAAACAATACAACACAAAAAATTCCGATAGATAAAGCAGCAAACAAAAACTCACTAAATTCACATAAAAACACATGACAAACTTCACATCTACAAGGGACTTTAGTAATCACAGACCATAAAAGTAACCACATAACTCGAAATCGTTTCACTTCCCTAAACAAATTCTACAATCCATCGACAGATTCAGCCAAGCTTAACAATGTTTCATCTCCGTAACACACTATACATTCCAATACAATCCATCAACCATGAAACGTTTCAAGCTATCTCCACACAGATCCACCTTAACATTGGTAACAAACATTCACATAAATCTAAACAACAAATGATCTTATATTCACATGAAAACACACAAACAAAAAAAAATTCACATCTACAAAGGACTTAGATCAAACAAAGTAACCACATAATCAATTCATTAACAAGAACAATCGCATCATCTGATCAACATTACATTGCGTCGTATAACCACAGAAACCACCGGATCTTAGCGAAAACGTAAGGCATGTAATTCAGATCAAACCATACCTTGAGACGAGTACAGAGAGAGAGAAAATCAATGGCGGAAGAAGCGGACGAAGAAGAAGAAGAAGTGGGAACCGCTGCGACATTAGGAGGAGAAGAGACGGAACCATCTCCCGATTGAGGGGAATCGGAAGCCATGCAATGAATTGCTCGATTCGGAGAAGAAGCTCCGGCGGCGGAGTAAGTGAATCGGAGATGAGAACGAGTGAAAGAAGGAACGAGGAAGACGAGAGAGAGTGATTTGCAGAAGAAGACTCGATTCACATTCTTCATTTTTTTTTTTTTTGCTTTATCTTTCTTTTGTTTTTTGGGAATCGTGTTGTTTATTTTGTTACCTTAACTGTTTCGATTAATTTTGGATGACAAAAAAAAAAATTGTTTCGATTAGTTTTGTTTTCCTTTTGAGATTTTAATTGGGCTTTTATTATATGAAGACCCAATAGTGTAGTGTAGTGGGTCTTGAATTCTGAATTATTCTTTAATGGGCTCGGTGTGTCTCGTGTGCATCTTGTTTCCATGTGACCAGATTCCACAATTGGGTGAAGAAATGCATCTTCAACTTTAGTGTTGTCAAAGCTCTCTCGTGCAAATCTTTTGATTTCAGAAAGACATCAGCCTGGAGTATGAAAAAGGTGATCACTAAGCGAAAATTCGGTCTATGTGTTAAGTTCAAGTCAGAAGTTAAGGCCTGAATTACAGCGACAAGCATCTTGAAGAGAGTTGTCAGGCCATGATGTATGGTTTTTGAACTTCTCATTCTCTGTTATTTTGAAGATAGAAGAATGCTTATCGTGTACAAATAAAAGATTTTGTTTAATTAACCACGTGTAATGTAACAAAGAAAACGTGGATTTATTGAACTTTTTCTATTACGAGTGATTTGATTTCACCGAGTAAAAATCACTAATACAATCCTCCACTAATCGTCGTAAGTGGGCGGGTGGGTACCCAAAATATAAATGATTCAATCCACACTAACTTCACAAACGTCAATAATAATATTTAGGCGGCATAGAAGTATGATGTTCACTTGACTCAACATTTTAAGAGCGTTTACATTGTAAAGAATTATCTTTTAGCTGACTAAAAATACAATGAATAATTTGTTTAATTGTCTAATAGTTGAATACATATTCCTTCTGTGGCTCTGTGTTGAAATTCTCACAATCTCTCTATCTTTCACACTCATTTACGGTTTCATTGTCTTTAGAGAGAAAGAACAAAAACCATTTTACTATAATCTTCTACATTGATAATTGATTGGATACATTCTTACAACACAACACACACATACATATACTAGTTTCTCCACTTGCATCACACTTGCACACTTGCACTTAGACCTAATTATGACTCTTACAATACACCATACTTCTAGGTTCTAGGTTCTAGGTTCTTACACAAGCCTCACTACTTGTGTGTAGCCACACTACTCATTGGGACTCTTAACAACTCTACTACTAGCAACTCTACTTAGACTAACATAACACATTTCCTCATTGGGCCTAATTTAATCCTTTAGCCCAATGGTACCATTATTACAAAACCACAAAGCCCAACATCTCCTTATGTTGACTTTGCTTCTGTCTTGTTGTCGTTGACTTCTTCCGACGCTTCTCTCCGACAACTTCATCTTCCTTCTACGCTTTGCTTCTTCTGTTATGCTCATCATCTCTTCTCACTTGAAGCTTTTCTTCTTGCAGGATTTAATCAAGGATTCACAATTCCAACACTCTGAGTGTACAAATCAATAATAATATAAGAAAATGCTCGAAGCTAGTTGTGTCGTCCAACGTTATTGAACTTAGTGGCATCCACTTCAGAGCTCACTCTATCTCAAACCTTCTATAAATACACTTACATATTTTCATTCTTCTATCCAACCAGCCTTAGAGAAATAAAGCACAAACGATAATTCTTAGATAGAAAGTATTCTAAAGTGGCTAGGGTCCATGGTCTGGTTCTCATGAGTTTATTGGTTATTTCGAGTTTGGTTATGTTAGCCGAGAGTCGGGTTGCAAGGAAGGATTTGGGGATAGGTTTGGGTGTTGGGTTGGGAATTGGTATTGGTGGTGGCTCAGGCTCTGGTTCGGGTGCTGGTGCTGGGGCTGGTTCAGGCTCTCGGTCTAGTTCATCATCTAGCTCAAGCTCATCATCGAGTTCAAGCTCGGGTGGTTCAGGTGGTTCAGCTGGATCATCTGCTGGTTCGTTTGCAGGCTCTAGGGCTGGATCGGGATCCGGTAACTAAATCCTAAAACTATGTTAGTTCCAAACATAAGTGTGAGATTAAATGTTTTTATGTTTCTAAGACGTTGGTTTGTACTACACTTGTAGCTAAAAGTGGGTGGATTGAATAAGTTATCCATATAATTAGGTTATGCTTTTTTTCCTTGCAATAAGTTATGTTTCTTTTTTTTTTTTATGTTTCTTTTTTTTTTTTTATGTTTCTTTTAAATATATAAAGAAAAAAAACTGTTTGTGTGATTTTTTGTCAGACTTAAGCCTTGGTTACAATAATATTAAGACATCGGGTGGTTCTCGATCCAGCCTTTTAAATATGTAACGACTAACGAGTGATCATATATAAGGCATATCAAAAATTACTTTATCTTTACAAGCTTTTCAAATAAACTAAAGAATTCAAGGAAAACTCAAATATTTTAGGTTTCGGCTCATGACGTTGGCTGTCTCCTGAACAAGATATCTAAGTTCAAACAAATCGATGATACCGAAAACTTTCCTTATGCCAAGGGAATCGTCGATAGTGTGTATATATATTTGAAGTGTTCGAGGGCACATACACAAGACATGATTTATTGTTACCGACAGCCACATCCATCGATAATAGGCTAAAGTGCGTCCATCATACTAAAAATATGTCGATAAGCAATTATAGGAACTCAGTTTGCTCGGTAAATCGTCGGCATTATTCGGTAACATTGATTTGTTCCCTTAACCATTTTGATAGTTCATTTTTTCGTTCGTAGAAGAATGTTATTGGACTTAGGCCGAATATATTTTTGTCATTATTAGGCATTATATTTTGTGCTAAATAGTGTTTTTTTAGGTTTTCAATGCAAAATTTAATGATTTTTTATGTTTTATGACTATTAGTATTCTGCAGATTGTTTTACTATTGGGCAGATTATGTTTAGGTATATAGTTAATGATGTTTTTGTTTAGAAAAAACAAAAATTTAATGTTTTCTTAATCTGTGTGCAAAACTCTAAAATGACATTCTTTGTGAAACAGAGGGAGTATGTAAATGGTCACAATTTTCTAACGGAAAAAATAGTCACAATTTTTCCGTAATAAATATATATATACAGTAGCGGATCCACGTAGTGTAATAGGGGGGCAGATGCCACTGCTAATTTTTAAAATTTTAATGCAAATGTTAAACAAATTCAGTTATGCCCCTTGTTATTTGCAGTTTTGACCCTCAAACTCTTTGAAAAATTTAATATTGCCCCCCATAAATTTTATCTCTGCATCCGCCCCTATATATATATATATATATTTATATATTTATCTTTTCTAGTAAATTTTAATTAATACATAAATTAATATGTTAAATTTGTCTCTAAAAAATGTTCATGTTAAATTGTTATCTTTTAACTCTCGTCACTATCCATGCATGGATCGGTGCTACGGTCATCACGACTTGCTTAGGACCGATATTTGATTGGTTTGGGACGCCCGATGCTCATTTTATCATTAGTAATGTATTTCATCTGCAGTTTGTTAATGATTTGGTCTCCCAATGACTATGTTATGTTCTTTGCCAGGCTTCTTAATGATTTCGCAGTTACGTGCTTGTCCATGTTTACATTCTGAAACCGCTCTTCCGGAGATTAGAAGACACTTAAATACCTTCTCTTAGTTTCTTGGCTCTGATGGAATGTTTTTGTTATACTGTATGGTCTTCACTATGTCCCTGAGCGATTCCTCTAGCTAGAAAGCATCCTCTCGATCCCTTCTCTTCTTTATTTGTTTCTCCCGGTGTTTTATTTGTCCTAGTCTCCTCATTGGTTGGTTAGTTAAAGAAGAATGGACGAGGCTAATCGGGTTCTTCAGCAGTTTTATGGCAGAATGATGTTACCAGTAAGATTTTTCTCGCTATCTTTCTTGTTATAATCACTTTTGATTCCGCTTTTAACAGTTTTTTATATTTTCAAATGAGATGGCTTTACTAGTTGAAGGACTAGATATTAGAGCAATACGTTGGATAGTGAATGAAAAAAAAATCTGATGTAGTTACATAACCCGGTTCCAAAAACTAAACGTGTTTGATTCCAGAATTATTATAAAAAGGGATAAGAAGACAACCATAATTTAGGACACACACAACTTTTTAGTGTACTATAATCCAATTATGATACACACTTATGCAGAAATATTGTGTTGTTGTAAAATGTGCATGCATTGATACATATTATCATAATAACAAATTTTTTTGTTTATAACATTGGCATATAGTCATATGAAAGAAAACGATCAACAATTTACCATGTAAACCCATGTATCATTATGTGATTCGAAAAAGTAACATCACTCTCAAGTAGGTGAATAATTCAGTCAGTTACATTGATATTGTCTATATAATGTATGCGTCACAAATTCACAATAATCTAGAAATTCTAAGATATCTGATTTTTCTCCATGTACATCTTGTGCACTAATCTTTGCGACTTCCTTTATTACACATAGAACCAATTTATTTTCTTTGTTTCTAATAGAACTTTAAGCTCAATAATCACTCCGTATATTGTTGACAAAAAAAACTAATTAACTTCGAAGCTTACATCATATCAAATTAATTAAACTAATCAAATTCTATATGACATTGGATTACAATGTTGATTAATAGAACATAAAAGGACAAACACAATAATATGACATAATAGAAAAGGTAGATAATCATTTAGAAAAAGAAAAGTGAAAATAAGAAGGCTGGATTTCGGATCATGTTCACAAGCATATGCAGCCAAGAAACACCCAAGTATCAGTTGTATGAGCTCGAGTTTGAGCTAAGATCTAGTGGATTCCGGAGTCAATCTCCGGCGAGACCTAGGGTTCCACACTGGAGCTTGAACTCGTAAAATCTTGGTGTTCTTTGTATGAGTTCTTTTTTTTTTTAAATCTATCAAGTAATTCGTGAGTTCTAATTGGTTCAATATTGATTGGGTTTCACAAAGACGATAAAATATATGATGGTAAATAGTATGAGAAGGAAAATAGTTCTCACCCATCTGTTAAGTCATATTTTGAACACTCTTTATAGGTTTCTTTTGTATATATTATCGAGTTTTTTTGTCAAGAACATATAATTTTCGATGTCTTTTAGTGTTTTCAAGTTAGTAGATCATGCAGTCTGGATTTGGGATTTTCAAAGAAAAAACAGACCAAAACGCGTCAAGAGAAGAGAAGATCCATTAAGTGAATCTTTATTCTCGAATTACTAAACTGTCTTATTGTGGACTAAACTATTATCATGAACATCCTCATGTGTCGAAAAATATCTTTAAAAAGTAGATCTCATAATCTTGGACTTAAATTAAATTAAATATAGCAACATCAGATTAACTGATTTTTTGTTTGTACAAAATTTTAGCGTCTCCAGCCTTTGTTTTTCTTTCCATATGCATATATAGTTGAGGATTGACCGTTGATGAATGACGAGTAAATAGAAGATAAATCAATGACATCAATGTGTCACATGGATGTCTTATGTGGATTTGATACTCATATATGTTGTGGTCATTTACCTAAAAGTAGAAAATTTTCTCAGACAAATTATCTATATTGGAATATAGTTAGACTTAGATAACACTTAATATAAGCTAAATTCATACTCCTAGTTTACATATGTTAAGAATGACAATATTGTCTTCTATTTATCATTTTCAATCAAGTTATTAAAATAAATTATCATAAGAAATATTTCAAAGAATTTACACAGCATTAATCAAAATATGACTGATAATTTTCTAATTCAATTTTGTAGATTCTGAGCTACTACTAATGGGAGCATTAATTATTATTATTGTTGTTATTTTCTATTTTATTTTTTGAATTTTTAATTTAAAATATATTCGAAAATGATTGTTTTACATCTAGCACAACGCTTGTGTTGAAATGGTTATTGTTGTTATTTTGATCATTGTTGTGAAAACTATTAGATATAAGATGAGATGTGAAGAAAATAATTCATTGCTTCTTATGTTTTTGTTGGTGTGTCAATACACTTATACAAGGAGAAGTAACTCCAATTTATAGAGGAAACACAAGTCGAGTTATTGAAAAGCAATTACTACCTAGGAAGTTCCATATAAAATAATATATGATAGATGTTACTTGTGATGTACATTCATTGAATTTATAGCAGCTTAGATAATAATCATAATATTGAGTATCTTGATTAATAAACTTATTCTGACTAAGTCATATAATTGTAATGATCTATTCAGTAAAACCAAACCACATTTACAGTAACACAATAACAACGCAAGTAGGTTAGGTAGTAACGCAGCCTGTGTTCATTTCAGACGATCTAAATATGTTTTTAAATAAGAGTTTATGTCATTTGATTCTTCCCATTATCTATTTTCTATAAATAGGTTAGGTATCAACGCAGCCTCCAAAAGACCAAAAGCATAAAAACAAATTGCAATTTTTCCAGTGGCATATGTATATAACTATATATTAGTCACTTAATTTTCATTAAATAAAATACGAGTAAAACGTTGACAAAAAATACGAGTAAACAAAAACAAATGGGACTTTGAAAACGTTTCCATCTTGCTCACGCAAGTAAAAACAAAAGGAAAAAGAAATACTCAATTATTTGACATAGTAGAAATAAGATAATCATATGAAAGTGAAAGCCATTTGATCTGTCAAAGGTTTAATGGTTTTATATTAGGCTGAGGTATGATTTTCAGACAATTGTTTAACTTAAAAACTGTAGATACAAAAAAGTTCAAAATTTCAGCATATAGCATATATAAATGTTTTTTTGTGATATCATGTATCACAATAAAATTAATTATATATCATACGTTTATAAGTTATAAACATAAACAGAATCGGTCTTTAATTTTTAGAAGGTCACAGCCGAAGAAAGAAAATAAGGGTTTTTAAAATGATTTTTATAATTTAAAAAGAAAAAACTTAAGAAATTTCAAAATAAATATGGTGGGTAAACAAAACTTTTTTAATTTATTTGTTAAGACATTTCCCTAACTATTTTATTTATTTACTAATCCTTGATTTATGCTGAAAAAAATACTGAAATAAATATTTTTATAATTCATGATTACTTAACTTAATCTAAAATCCGGTTATGGTCATAAACTATGTATTGTGAGAAAATTAGTCAGTCTTAAATTTTTAAAAAAATTATTTCATTGTAAGTTAAATTCAATCTATAAATTTTAAATTTTTATTTAATAATCATAATAAGATAAGATCGAATATAGAAAAAAATATACACAAGAAAAACTAAAATATCAAAATATAATTACAAGTCATTATCCAAAAATCTCCACCACTCGCGAAAAAGCGCGTGGAAGTTAAAGAGTCATCATTCTTCGAAAATGTAACCAAGTCTTCAAGTCTCAACTACTTCCTAAAGACAGAGAGGACCAAACCAAACGAAACTTCTCTGTAATATCCTCTCCAAATTTCCGAACTTTCACGCGTTTCAATCTTCTCTATATTAACTTATTTCCACAAACCCATCAAAACCCACTCATTGTGTTCCTCAAATTCTCTATCTTTCTCTGATTTCATCTTAAGGGTTCCTCAAAGTTTCAATCTTTCTCTCTGAATCTAAACCATGGCTCGTTGTAGCAACAATCTCGTAGGGATACTAAATTTCCTTGTCTTTCTTCTCTCAATCCCAATCTTAGCTGGTGGAATCTGGCTAAGCCAAAAAGGGTCAACAGAGTGTGAAAGATTCCTAGACAAACCAGTGATTGCTCTTGGTGTTTTCCTTATGGTTGTAGCAATAGCTGGTTTAATAGGTTCTTGTTGTAGAGTCACATGGCTTCTTTGGGTTTATCTCTTTGTCATGTTCCTTTTGATTCTTCTTGTGTTCTGTATAACTGTTTTTGCCTTTGTTGTTACTAACAAAGGAGCTGGTGAAGCTATTGAAGGAAAAGGTTATAAAGAGTATAAACTTGGTGATTACTCTGATTGGTTACAGAAACGTGTTGAGAATGGAAAAAATTGGAATAAGATTAGAAGTTGTCTTGTTGAGAGCAAAGTTTGTTCTAAGCTTGAAGCTAAGTTTGTTAATGTTCCGGTGACTAGTTTCTACAATGAACATCTTACTGCTCTTCAGGTAAAAAGTTTGACTTTGATTTGTTTCTAAAGTTTTGTCTTTTATTTTAGGGTTTTTTTAGTGAATTGTGTGATTGAAGACTTAGAAAGAGATTGAGCTTTTTGTGATCTCAGAACTTTTTGAACATAAAAGTTTTAACTTTATATTTAAAGTTTCAACCTTTTTTAATTTGAGAATCATGATTTATGAATCTGAACCATATACATATGTTTTAGTTTTGAATTTGACTCAAATTGATCTAGTAGTTTGTTGAATTGCTAAAATTTTGATCAAAGACTTGAAAAGGATTGACCTTTGTGATCTATGATCCATCAAAGTTCTCTTTTTTAGTGATCTCAAAGGTTTGATTTTAGTCACATATCTTTTAAAAAATTCAATTTTTAACACAAATTTTAAACTGATAATCATTAGACATGAGATCCAGGACCTTTTCATGCTCTGTTCTTAGCACTTTTGTATGAATTTTCGTTTGTTTGATAGTTTCTGAAGCTATATCTTTGTGAATGTTACTCTGTCTTAAGGCTATAATGTTTACTAATGAATATTTGTTTTGTGTTACAGTCTGGTTGCTGCAAACCTTCAGATGAATGTGGTTTCGAGTACGTAAACCCCACAACTTGGAACAAGAACACAACGGGAACACACAATAATCCCGACTGCCAAACATGGGACAACGCGAAAGAAAAGCTCTGCTTCGACTGTCAATCTTGCAAAGCGGGTCTACTCGACAACGTCAAAAGCGCTTGGAAGAAAGTTGCAATCGTTAACATCATCTTCCTTGTCTTCCTCATCATTGTCTACTCTGTTGGTTGCTGTGCTTTCAGGAACAACAAGAGGGATGATAGTTATACCCGTACATACGGATATAAGCCTTGAACATAGTTTAACCGGTTTTAGGACAGATATTCGTTGATCGGTTTATACATTATGGAGTTTGCTTTTATGTTTGATTTTTATCTTGGTGTTTTGATGAGACCTATTGCTTGTACAGCTAAACCTTGATATGGATTTATTATATGCTTTTATTAGTTTATTGTTTCTCTATACATATCATGTTCTTTTGATCTTCTCTTTAAGGAACAGAGAAGCAACAAAAAATTAGTTTAGGCATTTGGTTCTCCTATGAAAACCATTGGTGACATATATGAACTGAAGAGAACCTCGGATGTTTTTTTTCGCCCCGGTGATAAGAACTTCCATCGGTTCTGTGTTTGGGGATTGATGTGATGTCTATCGGATTGAATCATCATCATCATCTGAGATCACCTCAACAGGGTAAGCATGAAGTCCCTTTTTGGAGACTGTGAGAAGCATCTCGGTCGGTTTGATGAGCTTGAACGTGCAAACATCTCCGACCACTAAACCTAACTCTTTCACCAAACGAATCCATCCAGCAATGAATCTTGACTGTGTACCAGTGCAGTGACCTTATACATAACATCCCATGACTTCTTCCCTTTCGGATCACGAATCTTGAACATCGTTGTTTCCTTTGGCATATGCATCTCCTCAAACATCTTCGGGATCCCCCGAAATCATAAATTCTTATTAGAAATTAGACTATATAACTCACATTTATATAAACCAATCTTTCTTTTCTTACCAAGAATATGAGGTATGCTTTCTTTATGGTGAGGGTAAATTCTGGAACACGAAACATCTTCCACCTTTGTCTTCTCCTTCTTCATGTTCCGACCTGATTCATCCAAAATCAACCACAAAAGTAAAGACTGTCTTCTTCATCTTCTTCATCATAAGCATTTAAAAGCAATCTTGGAGATGATAACTTACAGTTACAGCATGAAGAAGCAATAGTTGCAGACCTGCGTCGTCTAAGCATCTCCTTACCGTCTATTCGGAAGATGTCTACGCTAAAGCACATATTTCCTTTGTGTGTGAAGTTAAGAAACTCGTTATTACCTAAACCATTGTCACTCAAAAACTTGTCCCAGCAACTTTTTCTCCATGTAGTAGAAACTTGAGTTTCTTGAGACTTTAATTGACACTTTCAACACCATTTTAGCCAAGAACTCCTTGTCCATGACACTTTCAACACCATTTTAGCCAAGAACTCCTTGTCCGAGATACTTTTCACGAAGTTGAGAGGAATCGCTCTCTTTAGACATATAATAAGAACATTATTTGTCAAGAAAGGATAAAAACACAGAAGAAGGACAATAAACAAACAGTGAAACAGAGGAAAAACTTCACCAAGAACAAACAGATCTATGTTAGTCAGACCACAAGACAGCATTGAAGAACCAAATGCTTAGAGGTGTCAAGTGGGCCGATAGCCCGTGGGCTTTGTCCAAGTAGCCCACGGCGGGGCAGGTTTGGACATCATTTTTCATGTCCATAAAATAGCGGGCCTTGGTGTGTCCCTTTTCAAAAATGCCGCTTTTAGATGTCCATTTTGAAAAATGCCCCTTTTTAAATCTGAAATTTTTATAAAGTTTTATTAGGTTTATAAGGTACTTATGGATTGTAACTACTACTTGAAGACTCGATCCAAGTATTTATAAGGTTTTATAAGGTATTTTAAAAGGTTTTACAAGTTATTTCTAGGATTTTTAAGGTTTTTCAAAGGTTTTACAAGATATTTTAAAGGTTTTAAAGGTATTTAAAATACATTTATAAGGTATTTATAAAGTATTTATAAGATTTTAGATACATAGAAATGTAGTTTGTGTATGTTTTAATAATGTTACATACATATTTGGGTAAATCTTATATATTTAAGAGTATTTTTATAAGGTTTTAAAGAAGTGGCATTTTTGAAAAGTGGCATTGAGAAAGGGGCATTTTTGCAAAAGTTCCATATATATATATGAAATATATGAACATATAACGAAATTTAATGTATAAAGTTATAAGATTTACAAATAAACTAGGATTTAACCCGCGGTGTACCGCGGGGCAAAATTATATTTTATGTATTTTATATAATAAATTATAATTTATTGAATTTTTAAATTCATACTACAAAAAAGTTTATTTCTCATTTAATTATTTATATTATAATTAATATAGCTGAATCTATAAATATATTTTTTGAGTTGTTGTATTTGTTTACTTAAATGTGTTAATTTGTATTGATGTACTTAAAAGATTTGTAGGTGTAGAAGTGATATAGTGTTAATATTGGCAAACATTTATAATCAAGGACTATTATAATAATTTGATATTATTTTGTATCTAAAAAATTTACCCGCGGTACATTGCGGATTTATTTTTTAAAACTAAAAACTTTAAATTTTAAGTTATATTTGTTTTGTTAATATTACTTGGTTTGTTTAGTGTTTAAGATAATATCATTACATGTTTAATTCTAGGCTTTCACCCGTGGTACACCGTCCCATATATTTTAATTGTTATAGAGTTCAAATATTATAAACTTTTTATAGAATTTAAATATTATAAATACTCTAAACCTTTTACAAACTATTTATAATGTTTAAACTTCTTATAAATTCTTATAAAGTTCAGATATTTATATTTGTAACTTCATAAAAGTTTTAGTTTTATAAATATTTAAAATGTTATATAAAGTTGAATTTTATAAAATGTTTAAATAATTATAATATTTAACTTTTAATAAAGTTTAAATATTTATAATATCTTGAAACTTTTAAAAAGTTTCAATTCTTTAAAATAAAGAACCGAAGTAAACGATAACAATTTTAATTTTGGACACCTGATAAATGAATATTTTTGCTCATTTATATTCAGAATCATTTTGGTCTTATTTATAGTATGACTCTGAACAATTGCCCAATTTTTTACATTGTACACATATTTTTTCTTCATTGATTGAGTAATATATGTCCGTTTTAAAATTTTTGAATCATATTATATGGAGAAAAAATATATTACTTTATTTTTATATGTATTTTATATAAATTCAAAATAGATTGAATATAAGATCATATAAAAGTGAAAGAATATTTATATATTAATGTTTAAATTAGGTAGGTAGATTTTAGGAAATTAGCAATTAATCGAATTTAGAAATAAAATCAATTTGTTACCACATTTGGAAATCACAGTTTCTAAAAAATTGTTTTGAAAATAATTTGTAATATTAATTAATAGATAAACATTTATGACAATGGCATTCTCTTGTAAATAAGTGCCAACTCAAAGATTTATTTCATATTTGTACTTCGAAAATGTATATATAGATTAATATTAAAAGTTTTTTAAAATTGAAAAATTGTTAATTTCAAATTTAAAAAATTAATTTTATTTTTTTCATTATTTTAAAATATTAAAAACAGACCCGCGGGCTGGTCCACTAATCCGTTAGGCTTAGCGGGATGGGCCTGCACATATCATTTTTGTCCGCGGTCCTAACGGACCGGCCCGTCGCGGTCTCACAAACTTAAATGCCCATCGCGAGCCGACCCAGATGGACGCGGACCGACCCGTCTGACACCTCTACAAATGCTTATATCTTTTAAGAGAGTTACCATTATTTCGGACGATAAATCTTCCTTTCGAAGGATCTTGAAGAAAACGAAACGGCTAGTTTTAGAGCGGTTTGCTAGTTTTAGTGATATCTGAATCATTACTCTTTTGTTTTTGTATAAAAAACAAAAGGGAGGTATTATTACCTCACTACTCTTACAAATTTGGCTTAAAGCCAATTTTAATTAAAAAGAAAAAGAAAAAAAAACATGCATTGGTTGAAAATCTATCCATAGTTAATGCATGACGTGTATGTTATTTTTAATGAAAATGTGATGTAACAGAAGTTGGAATTTCTATGATACTTGTTTTTTTTTTTGGTTAATACTTAATTTCTTACTACTATATTATTCAAAATTTAATTTAAAAGCTAGTCACTAACTAGGATGAAGGATCCAACCTTAGATATTTTAGTAAATTTGCTTACCAGTTAGGGATTTATTGAACGTAGGAATTTTATCAAAGTTGAAGAAACAAAATATTATATATATATATATATAGTGTTATTCATGTAAGTATTTCATAGAATTTATTGTTATTCAGGTTATTGATTTTAAAATTCTATTATATGCTAATGTTATTCAATGTTATGATGGTTTTTGATAGTAATGACATTTGCTTGGAATTTAAGGGAGCTAAGTTTTGTTTTGCCTTCATCATTTGCACTCTGAAGAAATGGTTGACTGATATTTTATTGAGCTTGACGTTTTGGAGATAATAAGTTAAAAATGAATTTTATCATAACTAGCACACTTAGTTTGAAACTTTTCTTGAATGCCACAATTGAAAACTCTTTCTGAAAATATCATAAATGTGTTTTAGCATGTGACAAGTGGACTATTATGCCCTTGCACAAAAGAGTTGGGAATTCAATTAATTTTGGAAGGTTTATAGGTTGATGTGATGTTAAAAACTCTTTGGAAAAGATGTGATGTTAAAACTCTTTTTGAGTATATAGTTTCACATGTTTGATGTATATGGATATCTTATGAGAAAGAAAAAAAAGCATTTGGCATGAGCATTGGTGAGCCAAAGTTCCAAAAGGAAAAAGAAGTTGACATTCTGAAGGAAGTCTTACTGTTGTGATCCTTGTGGAGTGAAGAAATGAAATTATAGAGATCTGGATATTATATTCAAGGTATATACATTCATTTCAAAGACAATGCTCTTAGAAAAAAGGTGTATGTTCTATTAATGGTAAAACACATGAAAAATATGGGATGACGCAAAACCCAAATGCTGAGTTCTGAGTTAATATTCTGCGAATGTTAATGTATAATTTCAATGGTTTGAACCAAGAAGAATTTCTTTTCGTTTCATGTTTGGTGACGCAAGAAACAGTCACTAATAAGTTGACGATGTAGACATCGAGCCAAGCTAACAAAACTTTCTAAAGGTAACAAAGATCTTACTATTACATGTTTGTGAGTAAATTTGGTACGAAGCGATCCATTGGTAGCCTTTTCTTTATTAATTTGAGGATTATGTGGTTTTAAATTTCAAAGAACAGTTTGTAGAATTTGTTTTGTGTTTTCATATTTGAGAATTAATGTAACACAAATGTTTAGACATTTGAAAATAATTTTGTTTGCTTTATATTTGGTATGCTTTATTGAAGACCAAACATATATTATCAAAAGGGGATCTGTTCGACTGGCATAACAACACCAAACTGTGTAAACTACTTCAAAAGTTCATCTAATCGTTTGTGTTAAATGGAGTATTTTTAGGTTTATGGAATTTTTGGCCAAACTTGTCATTATCTGGTCTAGTGGCAAATTGTCTTGGGGAAGGAGTATAGACTTTTCTGTCCGAGTTTGATTCATATAGTCAAGGATTAACCTAATGAATAGTGGGTTGCCTCTCGCTATATCGGATCCTTGGATTAGTCGGATTTATCAGTGATGTCGGATGGTTGTATTAGTTTGGTCCTAATTAATAAAAAAAGTTTAATCTTACTTTTTTTAATCCGATAAAGTAAATAATAATAATAATAATAATAATTATGACGATAGGTTTGGGGTTAAGTAAGTTTAAAATGAGAGTTTTGGTTATAAGCCAAAAAAAATGGGGTATTTAAAAAAATATTAAAGTCGATACTAATTAAGAACTTAGGAAGAGGAATACAAATTTGTGGCTGAGATATGAAGGTATAGCCTTTTTAGGAATATCTTATTTTGTCAAACGAACAAAAAAAATCAGTTCTAATTCCAGAAAGAAAAAAATTGAACCGAATAAACCAAAAAAGAAATTACAAACTGAACTGAAAAAATTAAACTGCATGGTGTCTTATGTATTTTTGTTTCCAACAAAATTCGATAAATATATATATGTCTCCACCGTTGATGTGTTTCTTCGGCTCAAGAGCCTAGTACTTCATGAACATAAAGGTTTAAAAGGTAAAGCAGATTAAAACAAAATAGTAGGAGGGTTTGAATGCAATCAGCTTGAGAATACAAGCAATTGCAACAACAGGCTCCATAACAAAGCATCCCCACCACTCCACAAAGTATAATCAAGACGATTGATCGACTGATTCGTGACGCAATTCTCGCCAAACGAAAGCACAGAATTATGGTGACCTAATGTAAAGGTGGCTCACCTTTGAATGATCTATTCAAAATGTTCTTAGGTTCCTTGCTTTTCAGTTTTTTTTTTGGTAAGGAATAACTTTCATGGTTAAGCTCTCTTTGTAAATTTTACAAACCCTCTCAATTCCTTAGTGAAATTCAAATTCATATAAAAAAAATTCCGACTACAGTCGCAGTCTTTCATTGCAGATGCGTGATTCACAACAGATATGCTCATAAGTGAAAATCGTTATGGTAAGTCTGAATCGGGGGACTCTTAATTTGGACACTAAAGAATCAAATCCATATTCATAA